TGTGCCTATTAATTTAGTATTTACATATTTCAAAACGCATGAAGGCGAACTTCAAATGTAGTTTAAGTAAAGGTATTTTAAAATGATTTTTAGAAGTATATTTTAGTACTGTAACAAAAAAAGAAGTTTATATTTTCGGTATATTTTTCGTGTACTTACAATTATGAATTGTATTTCAAATACACTCAAATTAGAATGTGGTATATTTCAAACGTATTAGTTTTCGCTAAGGGACAACACAAGCGCCATAATATATGAAGTATCCACATTACAGAAACAACAAATTAGGTCACCTACCAACACCCAGCCTATGGTGATAAACAATTGCTCGCGATACATGTACAGTGATATACCAAAAGTCCAAAAAACAAACCAAATTTCCCAAAAACAAACAAAAATGAGCAGCAGTTGCAGTGCAGAAATGTAAAAAAAAAACAACTAAAAACCAAAGTACCAAAAGTTTTACGCAATTGTTAAGAGCGGTCTAAAAACAAAGAAGCGGTGCGTGTCGTACACAAGCAAATAATTTGTCAAATTAATACTTTTGTTGGGCTACTTGGTTCATAATGATAAAAAGTTAAAAAATAGAGCAAAAGAGACGAGAAGTGGAAAAATGGACATTTAGTGATTAGGTATTTATTTCTTACGGATATTGTACGCTGACAATAAGTACTTGAATGAGTCTACCCCTGGGTTGCATTTAATTCCTAGTTTTGGGTGCGTAAATTGCGTGTTTGCATTTTTTTATTGAGTTATATATCTGCCCCGTGTAATAATTTATAAATTCAGTTTTCGTTAAAATATTTTCTAATCCTCAGTTTTGTTTTTCACTAAATACGTATGTTAATTTGGAACCAACAACTCCAACCGACATTGCTTTCTGAGCCGGTGCACATCAAAGCTATTCTAATTAAATGCGGTAGGAATTCTTTATGTCAGCCATTGAAAACGTTTGCTCGTCACATTGAAACTCATGCACATCCACAGAAGAGTGAGATACGCGTGCCGTACCCCCTCTCCTTATCACGTGGGTGCGCGATGAGGAGATTTCTGAGTCGACAGCTACTTGATAAGAAACCCTTAGTGCGCATTGTTCGAGGTCACACAAAGACGGCCACCGCGAGGCAGAGATTGCGCAAGTCAGAGTTCGACCGAGTCTAGCGCTAGACCGGTGAGCACACCAGCCCTACCCACAGTGGTCCCACGGGTTTCCCGCTTTGGACTTCGTTAAATGACGCCAATAATCCGGCTGTACAGATTTGTATTTTGTGTTAGCGAGGGTCTGCCACCCCGCCCAGGGGCCGCTACCGACCGCCCAAAAAGGACACAGCCCGAAACGCACAACAGCGTATAAGGAAAGAGCCAATAAAAGGAGGACGCGGCCACAGAAGCGGGGGAGACGGACCGAGGTCACGGAGGCGTGTAGCTCGAACGCTCCGGCAGTGTTTTACGTTGATACTAACAACCCATTCCCGTTACTCTAATACATGCAGTTTCTCATAATGGAAACCCCGGCTTCGTGTTGTTTCTCCCGGATGGGCATGCAGAAAGGCAACCCAACTACAATTTTACGAGGTGATTGTGAGGGACACTTGCCGTCATTCGCTCCTCCACGGGAGCATACGTGAATCACGGGAGGTTTAGTGTCATCCTCTTCTTTTCGAGCCCAAAAACGGGTCGCAGGACGAGGGGCTCACTGGGTGTGCAGCAGTCTTCGCAATGAATTCTACAAAGAACAAGCGGACTGAAGAAGACGTAGCTGAACAGAGCAGCAAGGTGTAGAGTATGACCGCGTTCGACCTTCCAAGAGGACGTTGAGGGAGAGACGCGCTATGAGGGGAGAAACTGAGCAAAAGGATGTGACGAGAGCGCTCTGGGACGGCAGTAGGCCGAGCTCCTGTTCGAATCATCCTTGTTGTAGACGCAAAGACACCTTTTTTTTTCATCTTACACTTTGAACGCGTTCGGTTGCCCAACGCCGGCGTCCGGCCTTTGGCGTTGGCGTTACAACGCGTTTGACCAGCTTAGGTCCGAGCGCGGCCGATGTTATGAGCCGTAGGGCCAACCAAATAGCAAAAGTGGCGCAACGTCATGGCTTTCTCTCTTCAGTTGATAGGACCAGCCGGTATTCGCCGTCTCTCTGTGAGTGCACCTCCGCCGGTTAGTCCTATCAAGCGCAGAGAGCACGCCATGACGTTGCGCTTTTTGTGCTGTTTGATTGACCCTTTGGCTTATAACATCGGCCACGCTCGCACGTAAGGTGAAACAAAGTATAGCTTTTCGTCTACCTACTAATCATGTAGAATATTTATATGAACTTATATCGGTTTCATTGAAGACAAAGAAGAGGAAAAATACTTGATCGCGAAAATTCAACCGGAATGACGAGGAGGATGAAGACGCGATCGCAAAAAAAAACGCCTCAACTGAGCTCAACGCCTTCCAAATGTAAATATTGTATATAAACCTTTTTTATTACTCCTCCTGTACCAATATTTCTCAATTCATATCAGCCAGAGCTCGGCGTTCTGACGTCTCCTCGAGGTCCCGTCACCTCATCTCCCTCCGCTCCGTGTCGCGTACGGTTCGCCGCATCTTAATCGGCGAACTGTAGCTTTTATAGAAGACACGCTATGACATCGTATTTCGACGTAGTTTGGAGCGAAGCACCGCAGAAACAAAGCCATGTTCCCTCTAAGTGGACGTTTTATGATTTTCATCGCTCATTGCCCTCATCTGTTGAGTTTTGGCAAATGGAAAAATTCATTTATTGGTTAAAGCTTTACAATCCATTGCATCGAGGCCCGTCAAATTTACAGAGACTTGTAAAACGAAGCCCATCTTTTTTTTTTTTTTGTAACTTATTGGTACTATACCACATAATGCAGCAAAACTCAAGACGGCGATACCAACGGTTTGCTGTTTCATGAATACACCGAATAACTGCCTTATAACAGGCTACCAACAACTACAGCATGTAAACTAACGCTTTTAAGGCACTTCTGATGGCCCGCAAACATCGGTTTTGCAAAGTACCGTCATGGATGAAGAAAGAATAAAACAATTAAAACAGGGACAACACCACCCTGTTTTAATTGTTTTCTTCTTTCTTCATCCATGACTTAAACCAACACGCTCTTCTCCCAAGCAAAGTACCGTGCTGCCTGTTACTGCACAAGTCCAAGCAGGTTGTGGAAGATTACAGGAAAAAAAATCAAGCCATGAGCTTACCTCGTTTAAAAAAAAAAAAGCGAAAAACTGTTTTGGTCAATCTACGCCACAACTTCGCAAAAGATGCTCGCGTAGTGGTAAGTGCTGGCGACAGATGCGGTATCCCGCGTCGAAGGGTCGGCGATTCGATTTATGATAGCAGACGATCCCGCAAAAGAACCCGAATGGGGCGGCGCTCTCTAGAGAGCCTATATTACAGAGAGTTTTCAACTGCCCGATCTGAATCACGTGGTTTATGGGCCGCATTTGCAATTCGGACTGCGAGGAGGTGACGAAGGCGTTGATCATCTCCGAATGTCTCCGCCTTCCCTCCTGCTTTCCCCCTCACCATGCGAAAACGCACTACGTGCACACTTGCGATCGATAGCGGCAGGACGAGTTCGCCATTAAAGGGATTCTGAACCAAACATTTCAGTGTCTATAATAAGTGGCGCGCGATTTTTCCACGAGCCAGCAGCAGCCGGTGTGCGCGAGCACACGCAGCGAAATTGAAGTCATCACATCCCCCATTCACGCTTAAGCGAGACTCCCGCAGAAGAACTATCGTCCTGATCAGGCGTGCAGCCTCAGTGAACGCGCTCTCTGACTCCTAGACATTAGAAGTGAAGCCACCTGTAACTCAGAACAATCTCAAGAAACCCCTAAGAAGATGTATGCCAAACCTCCTCGAAATGCCTTTTTTCGAAATCGGAAGCTTTGTTTGGATCGGACAAGAGCAGCCTACGCCTCGTGAATCTGAACGTCTTGCACCGAAATTCAGAAACTAATATCAGATCACAGGTCAACGTACCTATGATGTTCGTCAGATCAACAGATCTCTGACATCTCAACGCCACACTCGCGTCGTTCACGCAAGCCAGATGAAAACGTTTGTAGCACCCATTATACTTGGACACTATCATTGTCGAGGCACCCTATCCACCTCCAAGAATTCCTTACGATTCTAATTTAACAACTGAGCCCGAGACAAACTCACACGATACCCCGCCGGACTTCTTTCTCTCGGGCTCTACCCCTCCAACTTAGAACCTTTTAGACCCCGCTCCGCCTAACTCCGTTTTCCATGCCAAGCCGATACTGAGCGTTTAAAGCATTGACAAAATTAACTATATTAAATAAAAAAAGGGGGGGAGGGGCGGATGTGAGCAGTGTGCCTGCCCACAGCGCCAAACTTGCCTCAGAAACAGGCGTGGACGAAGAAGCAGAGAACGATGTCCAGACCGTAACCAGACATAAGCCGTGACTCAACCATCGCTTTAGTGTTTTCTTTTATTTTCATTCATTAAACATTATTCTTATTCTACAAAGTCACGCAGGAAGTCTGACACGGTCACTGGTTGATGTCGTCCCGTGGTAATTTCCGCCCTTCAAAAGCACTAGCACTTTGTCGAGTCACATTTCCAGCGCCACAGCGCCGCGAACGGGCGAAGGTAAACAAACAAGATGTCGGAGTGTCCCCCGTGTTGGTCGCGCCGTCAGTGCGGTGTGACAGGGTGTTCCTCGACTGTCGCGAAACAAATCGGCGAACAAAATTGTCGGGCGACAAAAAATATGTTTCTCGAACGTTGCTATTTGCTCAATGTGACAGCGTTGCCAAAAACATGTTTCCCTCGTGTTGATGGACAAAGGTGTCCTACTCTTTCCCCAATGTCAGAGCGCCTTAATAGTTGAATTTTTATTTAACAATGTTAATCGAGAGATGTAGGGGCTCATGGACGTCATATTATCGTAGTTGCCTCTATGCAGTGTAAATAGGGAGTACAAACATGTTTCTTCACATTTCATTTCTTTTATTTGCGTAATTAATTGACATTCCTTTGCGAAATTGCAGCTGTGCTTTACGAAGTTCTGAGCGGTATGTTTTACACAGGACTGTTTGTTTCCTAAAATTAGTAGTAATGTATTTATGTATTTATATATTTATGTGCAAGAAATAAACTTCCTAAAGCGAGGAAAGAACTTTCTTGACGAAATTCTTCTCGATGTCACCCAGCTTTTTCTGGCTGCACGTGGAGCACAACTCTGAGCCTTTTTGTATCAGACTTTTGCCCATGCTGTCCAGGTTCTTGCCGAGCTCAGTCAACAAATTCGGGTAGGAAACCTGATCGTCACTAAGGGTATAACTGCCTAATTTCTCTCCGATTACTGCTGTAATGACTTCAGCAGCCTTGGTGACATAGTTCAAACCTTCTGACGCGCGGCCTATAACGTTCGCTACTTTGTCGACAACTTTCTGCACACCAGCCCACAGTCTTTTGAAGAAATACTCAGCAGTCTGCAAAGAGAGAAAATAAAACTGCTTATTGGCAAATGGAGAAAGTTCAGAGAACGCTGTTTGGGGAAGCATTATATGAACTATTTTATTACTATCACATTTTAAACACCGCTTTATATTTTAGACGCATACTTGACTTAGAAAAAGTGCACAGTCTTTTTAGATCAATGCTCTATAGTAAACCAGTTCCAATTTTAAAAACAATTCGGTTTCAAATATACTAAAATACAAGTAAATCTGCTAAGAACAACAAAAAACGGGTTTTGTACCTTATAAATGTTTTGATATTCTTCTGCGAACATGGTTCGCAGAGCATTTTAGAATAGTTATAAACAAGCCGATTTAAACGTGACACCTGACACAAGAATTGAAGTGTTTACCTTGCAAGATTTATATCCGGAGAGCAGAGGACGCAGATAATACAAATAGGCGATCTGTCCTTGCTCGAGGCATGTTTGTTCACGATATCCCTCAATGGAAATTTTTACTGAGATAGATTATGTGGTATTCACGAGTAACTTCTGGTTAAACAATCTATTTTTATATTTAGAGGTAATGTTCGTTATAATGAGATGAGCCAACGACTGCATTTATATGGATGCGACCGTAGCGCTTCCAATCGAGATTTTACTTTTTTATTGGTAGCAAGTGGGTAGAATAGGAATAAGTAGGAAGACAAGCAGCGTGCCATTGGTGCCTGACCGATTCGATGTGCTGCGTTCGCATTCATGTAAACGTTGCCACTTATCTACAATATAGAATAACTTAGTTGCATAGCAGGGCAATCATATTCTACGCCCGTACGCTTGCAAACTCGTTCCATCTAAAGTATCAACTTTTTTTTATCACGGTTGTATTTAAAAAAAAAATGTCATTGTCGTCTTTTATGAGTGGCAGTTTTATGCAAAATCCATATATCTCCAGGGGTAAAATTACAGATTGCAAGTAAATATTAAACGTCGCCACTTTTCAGCTTTCACAAAATAACTATATATACGAGTTCTCCTTGTATTTGAAACAGCACTACCGAACTTGCGTGTGTAGACAAACAGCGCTATAGATCAAAACCACGCGTATATATTTTTCATTAAATATTTGTGCATAACCTGAGGGGTAAAATATATTTTGTTCAATATGGTTCATGGAAAATCGCTAGTAAACTTCGATTAGATGAACGAGACCTTGTCAACGATACCGTCACCTCGCCGATACATCTCAGCCCCCGATTGTGAGCTAACGTATTATCTACAAGTTACAGATATTCCATAAACATTTATATTCTTGATGTAATTCTTTGTCATATTGTTATATGTTTGTTATATTTCAAAGGATAAATTAATAAACAAATACAATTTTCTTTATTTTACCGGTTGGCTTAGTGCACATTAATGTAAGAAAACGCAGTGCACATTATTCTAGGAACTCTACAAAAGTGTTGGGACCTGTCACTGGTTCATTTGACAGATCGACTAGATGGCCTGGGTGTTTTGATATGAACACTACAAATATTGACATAGCGGCCTGTAACTTTTTTTTCGTGGTTTTCACGCCTTTACTTTGTGAAGAGAAAATCAAAGGGGAGGCGGAATACTTATGTTCAATAAAAGTATCTGGCTCTCCGAGCAGGCTGGAACCTCCCTTAGTCATGCTGATGTTTTGGCTGTTACAGTTTTTAAACATGCAGCGGCATTTGTAATTTGCGCTACTTATTGACAACCGAGTTCAAATTTTTCTTTATTCTATGACGAGTTGGAATATTTTCTGAGCGGATGTAACAATAGCAGTCCACTGGTTCCAGGTGGAGATCTCAACATCGATGAAATGAATGTAACTAAATTGGGTGCTGCAGAATATCTTAATGTGTTGTCGGGCTTTCGACTATAAAATATCATAGGGAGTTTATCACGGGAAGAAAGTTTGTGAATTCGAATTACAAGCCCGTGCATTCGTGACATAATTGTTAGACTCAATGAACTCAACTTTGCCTCAGGGGTAATTAAACAAAAAGTAGGAGACCACTGTTTTCAATCTCTTATTGCGTTTGGTAGTGCCTTAAACGAGGAACGGGTTGATTATTATGTTGCAATATTTTTTATAGATATTATAGATATTTATCTATAATTTTATGCAAAATTATCAATAAAAATAATAAATGAATATTACTGGATTATTTTCGTAATATTGGATCACAACACTGCCTATCGAAAATGGTTGACCAATTAGAAAGTAAAAATAACAAGTGTGAAATGAATTCGGTTGAATTATAGAAAACGCGAAAATGTGTGGGTCACCGCTGAAATAATGAAGTTGTGTCATGAAAAAGGCACACTCTGGAATAGATGTAAAGCCAATCTCGAGGATAGTGCACTTACAAAAAAAAAAGAGATTAGAAGCGTACGTAAAAAGGTTAACGCCAATGTGAGACTTATGAAAAGAAAGCACTACGTTGCTCGTTTGGAGCATCGCAGTAGAAACCCCAGAAAAACATGGGATATTATGCATAAACTAATTGGTAAGAAAGAGAAAGAAAATATTGACCAATCAATCAAATACCTTTTGGAGACCGGTATGTTGAATGGTTATGCGAGAAGTTCAATGAAATATTTGTTCGAAGTGTCCAAGATCTTTAAGTGACGGAGTTTATTTACAGCAATATTTCCACTGGTCCAGCGAGGGGTTGAGCCAACTCAGCTTAGTTGCCGCAGATGAAAAAAAAGGATCTAAGGCTTAATATAAATATTATGTCCGCGGCCAGGGCCCCTGGAAGTGACGGTATTTGCTTGAGAGACTTCTTGGCTAACTTTAACAAACTTAAATACGAGCTGCTGAAAATAATTAACTCATCTCATTCAACGGATAGAACCCCCAGCTACCTAAACGTTGCAGTTATGAGGCCTATCTTTAAAAAAGAAGTAAAAATTATATGTTTAATCGCAGGCCCATTTCAATTGTATCTGTGGTTTCTCTAATCATGAAAGGGTTTGTCTTCAAAAGAGTGACGTCTTTCAGTGTGAAGTATTCTTTACTGTGTAGTTCCCAGTACGGCTTTCGCCAAAACACAGGCACATAATGATTACCTGTCCGATCACATGCACACAAGTTTTCATCGTAACAATTTTGCGCTGTCTTTTTCTAGACCTCAAAGAGAAATTTGATTCAGTTAGTCACGGGTTTTTGTACATTAATTAGAGCATTTGCTTTTCATAGGCCCATTCAATGACTTCCTGATTAAATACCTTCCAGGCCGTGAACAGCTAGTAAAGATTGGTGACGCTGAGAATAAGTTTGTGACATCCCCAGGGACCTCTCTTAGGACCTCTCCTTTTCAACATCTATGTTAAAAATATTGGGAGGCTTCACTTTTCCTTGGGAGTATTTCAGTACACCAACGAAACCACTTAGGGTTTATATGGAAATGGCGAATTCGAAGCTACATCATCTTCATAAAATGACATATTCCAACTAATGGCGTGGTTCACTTGGAACCAATTCTTTGTAAACGTCGATAAAACAAAACTTATGTGCTTTCATAACCCACACAAAATTATAAAACTTTCGGCCCCCTTAGTCCTTCGCTTATCCGCTTGTAAAAGCTACAGGTGCGCACCACTAGAATAAGTGTCATCTACAAGGTATCTGGGCGTGCTTTTTGATGAATATCTGTCATGCGGAGCTCATTTGGACTACCTGGCGAACCGCCTACGAACAGTATCTACTTATATATACCGCCTTCGATTTTAGCCCTGTGCGTGTACTAGGTATATGACATATCAGGCACTGTAGGAAGTCTGCACTACGAAACGGAATAACAATTTATGGTTCCTGCTCGTACTTAAAAAAATGGCTATAATTCTGCGAATTATAGTAACAAACATTATGCATGCAACTAAATTTTCTGAACTCCAAACTGACGTGAAGGTGCGGTCGCTGCGAATCATGCCAGTTGACAAATTGTATATCTATACCCGTATTAGTATGCAATTACTACAAATACACGTTTAAGTAGCCACTAAAAAGGCGAAGGGTTCCGAGAAAAATAAAATGTTTTGTTCAGTCAAGGGTTTTCACAAACTACGGTTAAAAGGTACGGTATTCTTATATTCCACATTATTACAACATGTAGCGAGATCGACATTTGGATTTGCAGTCACTTGACATTGTTAGGAGAGCTGAGCAAGCGGCGTAATAACTTTGCTGGTTCACCAAACTTGCAACCATCTGTCGTTTTATTTTTTTTTTTTGAGTTGGTGCATTGTTTTTGTGTGTTTACATCTTATGATTTTCAAAGTTTCAAATATACAAAGATTCTAACTTGTTCGGCTTTGTAACATGTATGAAAGTTTTTTAGGCCTAAAGTTGTCCGGTACGTTTTGTTTTATGTAGGAGTAATAACATCTTACCCTATTGCAACAGTGTTTCGTCCACAAGCACACACGAGATTTTGCAGTCCTGGATAATTTATGTACTAGTTCATCATGCAATAAACTTTGGTTAAGATACAAAAAAAAGCCTTAGTTTGTTAATTACCTTCGAAAACTCAATATCTAGTCTGCACATCATAGTCTCTTAAAAAATTTGGAGAGAACCAACGAAATGTATTTTTGCGAAAAGTATGGCTGTTTAATAATATACAATTATCGCTGCATTCCTCTTAGTGTGCACCCCTCTTGTTCAATCCCATGCAGAGTGCATTTTAAATTTCTTATTAGTTATGACCTTCTAGTAGTTTGGGTTTACCATCTCTCATTGAATCCATATTCGCCAAAAAGTTCCGAATAATCGATAGCTCCAGATCCGTTAACTTACTTCATTTTCCAGTCCTTGGTTTTGTGCGACGTGAACTTTAATGCCCTGGGCACATTCACGTAGAATTTGGCCGACTTGAATTGCTTGTTGTCCCACACGGTTAGACTCCTTGTCAACAATCACGTCCAGAATTTCCTCCTTTTCCAGGCACCCTTCAAAGCGTAAAAAAACAATGTAGCATATATTTATCACTAAAACCTTCAAATGTATATCAAATAAAGTGACTGATAGGATAAAATAAAAAATGAAATATTTGTGAATACGCTTTGCTAAAAATTACCAGGTGTTCCAGTGAATACCATAAAATACTAAATAAACTGCTTGAAAGAAAAAGGGACTTTCTTGAGAGAAAAACTGCTCGCCATGTCGGACGTCGGAAATTACTAAAAAGATACAACTTAGCTGATAAAAAATGGTAATTACCGTCTTAATATGCGAAGTTTGGTGGGCAATACCACTGGCAATTTCGTAATTGCGGACAAAGCTATCTCACATCCGTTTCTCTAAAGAAGAATCATTGTTCTATGTCCCGCGGCGCGACAAACACCTAGCGTCTTCTCCAGGAGGTCATACCGCAGACGAGGAGCACAAAAATATTCTTCTCATGCGATGCAAAAAAAAAAATCGACATAGCCTCGAACCATAGTACTTGAATTGTTGTTTGTTCGGTTTTTTCGTTTTAATAACGAATATGCGATATTTTTGTCCGCTGCTACAAACTTGTCACTGGTACTGACCAACTAACTAGACTATATATAAAGAATAGTAAATTTAAGCACATCAGTTACCTAATTCCTAAGTTTGTTAGTTTTTACTCTTGGCGTCCACCGTGGCTCGCAGTTCGCTCCCGATAATATTTTATTTTTATTTCCTGAGGTACCTATTTGTATAATTTTTTAAAAGTTCTTTATTCACACACTAGGTATATTGTGGCTTTAAAAAGTTATTAATTATTTATGTGCTTTTATAGGCGTGTTTCATCGCAATATGAATGCTTGAACTTACTTCAGAATTAGTGTAAATAAAAAAAAATGAAAGGTGTTTACAATTCACTGTAATGCCCAATTAGAGTGCAGCTCTTGAGAAGGAGGAGGAGGGGAGGGTACAGAGTGTAGGATAACGTGACGTCAGACGTGACGTCCCGTGTGACGTCACGAGGGTATAATTGTTTCCCTAAATTTAGAAAAAAAAAGTTCCCGGGTTGACTGGCGTCACGTGTGACGTCACGAGGGAAAAATTTCCCCGCTAAATGTAGCGGAAAAATTTCCCGCCACGTTTCGTGGGAAAAGTTTGCCTTCATGACGTCACACGTGACGTCACCTGTGACCTCATTGTTGGAAACGTCTCATATTGCTACGCGCGGTTACGCCGACGGTGACGGCGACGGAGACGGCGACGGCGACGGCGTCGCCGCTCAAGCCGGAAACGGTCGGCTAAGAGCTGCGCTCTAGAAGATCTAAACGTAGTGACTAATTCGTTAATTTGAATAATATTATGATTTTTTCATGCATTACATATCTCTGAATCATACATTTAAAAGTATGTTTTCACGCAACCGGGGTGAAGGTCAAAAGCTAGTATCTGAGAGGGAATAGCTGAGAAAATATTCAATTGGCAGCGGAAGTCCTACCACAAAAAAAGCTGCATAATTTGAATGTCATGAACAACTCATTCATTTTTTTCGACAATGTTTTTATAGATTTACAAGATATCAGACAGAGAACTTTTTTTCCTTGGGCATTCCTATTTAGAGCAAATGTTTAACCTATGCTGCGGTTGGCTAGAATTTATCTCTACGAATTACTTAATTTGCACAACAAAAACTTTAATAAGCATTTTTATAATGATCGCAATCAATTGGTCTTTTGTTTTCAAGATCTACTCTGTTTTAATCTTAAACTGCTTGTCATGCTCCGTCGCATGATTACGAGGCGTTCACTGACATACCAGTGGCCTTAGTTACCCCTCCCTATCAAAACAAACTAAACTAAAGGAATGTTCGCAACTCTGCATTTGGTGTTCACACTCACATCCCGAGGTGATAAAGAAGATAGCGAGAAGTGCGGCAGTGACTTGCTTCATGGTTTCTGAAAAAAATTTAAAAAAAAACGTTACACGTGCAAGACCATTACAAACGGAACGCATTCAAATATTGCGCAAATAGGTACTCCTTGAAATACTCTTCAGAAACGTTTTGAATTAAGAAAACAATCCCAGGGTATTTAATTCTTATATGCTTTAAAAGTACGCGTAGCAACGCTTGTGGTCGAGGGACATTCCTTTCAAATCATCAAGTTATCATCGCTCATGGGCGCAAATGGGTGTGAATGCACCTAAAGGCGCATTCACACAAAGGGCAAATAGACGCCGCCATCGAAAAAAAAAAAACGAAAAAAAAAAAACGAGGCAGCCACGCAGCGCCTTTCGACGTCGGTGCCCTCTCGGGGAACCTCGCGCTTGTCGAGAGAACACGGGAATGTTTTGTTTGCCTTCTTCCTGCGATCGTTTTTTCTTGGCATTCGTGACTGCACACGAGCTCGTAGACAACAGCCTCCAGTGAATGGGCGACAGCGATTATTATATACTTATCCTTTGTTTTTAGCGCTTTTACACTTCAGTTACATGCAGCATATGAAAAATTTCCGGACTCGAGCGCGCAGCGTCAAAAGGTTTAGAAGGTATTTTCTTGGCGCCTTCTTCTCCAAACAAAGTATATATGTAGCACAGTGCTCAATCCCTTCTCTAAGTACAATGCGAAAAATAGCTTCGCGCTACCTCTGACGTACGGTGTGCCGCCATGCGTGAGATACGCCTAAAACCTTAGTAGCACTACTGCTATTAAATGATAACGACCACTTTGCATAATATTTTAATTCGAGGTGAGCTTTTCTCCGAATCCTTCAAAAGACTGGAGAGCTTTTCTCCGGACCGCACAAAAGTGGGTGAGTTTTTCTCCGGTGAACTTATCTCCGGTGAGTGTTTCTCCGGTGAGCTTTTCTCCGGGATTAAAAAAAAATCGCCCTCGACACGCGTTTTTCCTCGGTGTAAATGCGCCTTAATGTTAACGGAATCCTAAACGCAACGCTTACGCACTCGTGGTATATCTGGGAGGATGAAAATCTCACTCAGTTTAAAGCCACCACCTAAAACTTTCCACTATAGCACACATGCAAGGGAAAAAGGAATTATGTTAAACTGCCTAGGTGAAAAAAGAACGTCATAAGACCAATTTATAACGAAAACAAAAATGTTCGAGCTATATTTACGGCGCGAAACGAATTTGTGGTTGGCGCCCGAAGAAGCCCGCGGAAAACTGGCCGCTCTGGTCACGTGACAGGCCGCTATTACCCCGTGGTGCTTGCGCTCTATCGGGAACTTCATATAGGCTCCAGAAGTTACTTATTTATCTTTGTTTGAAGTGCAACAAAATACAAAGATTAATAAGTAACTTTTAGCGCCCAAAGGAAGCTCTTGGAAGAGCGCAAGCACCACGTGATAAATCTGTGCGCCTGGCAGGAATTGAGGGCAGCGGCCTTCAACCGGCGCCGCGGCAGGGACGTGACTATTGGCGGCTCCCGCGGCGCCAACTACAAATTCGTTTCGCGCCGAAAATATATATCTCTAATTTGTTTTTTCCTTGTAAATGTGTTGTATAATTTTTTTTTTCCATCTAGGCTGTTTAAAAAAAAATGTATTCTTGCTTTGCATGTGTTTTTTAACAGCATAGCCTGCTGAAATTGACCTAAGCCTCCTGTTTTTATACATCAATATCATATAAATTGGGTCGTAATGAAATCCGTGACATTTTTAGGAACCCTTATGTGGCTTCCTCTAGCTACCATGCATACAGAAGTTGTTTCACAAAACGCTCCCCAAACTGTCAATTATAACGTTCAGTATACCTAGGTACTTAGTTTATTTTCAGTAATATACATTTAATAAGTGAATGTAAAGGTTCGGGTTCAATAACAAACTCTCCAGTCATTATCACAATGCTGTAACTCAACTCAAATTAAAAAAAGCGTAAGACGCGCGAAGCGCTAAACGAAGTTTTAAAGAAATCACGCAATTTGAACACGCTCTGCAGTTTGTTTCCTATCAAAACGCACTCCGCTCTTGTCGTCCTGCCCTCTAGTATCCAAAGCGCGCAATTAGCTTGCGCCGTGACGCCTTGTTCAGATGACGGAGGTGAACCCAAGAATCAAGGCTTATACTTTCAGCGTCATTAGAACCACGCAGCATTTCCTTTTCCCGGGTCGCACCACACTTCCTTTTCTCTACGAGAGAGGTCCGGCTGTAGTCGCCCGTTTTTACCACGGGGAGCATGACAGCTGGCGCAAAAATGCGCTCTATTAAAAAAACTGAAACGTTAACACGCGTCTAAATTGAGTGTATGTGTGTGTGTGTTTTTAGTGCCGTAAAAAGATGCACGCGTTCCTTTTATTTTTCGTAAAGTTAGTTCATTTGGTGGTTTTTTGTCGATACCCAAAAAGATTATGAATAAAACCGTTTTGTTCAATTTACTCTTAAAAATTTGAATTGATGAAAATGAATTGCGAATCAAACTGTTCCGACGTTAATAATTCTCTCGATAGAATATTTGCGAGGGATCAATATGGCATCAACCTTTTTTCTGCGTGATCAGTACTTTACGAAGGAGATTTTTGGCTATGGTCAGTGAAATACTTTGCATATAAAAAATAATACTTCGAGTATTGCAAATGAAAGTACCCCTAACAAAAAAAAAATAATATTTACTTTTTATTGAGTACTTCAGGCAGCTTTCGTCTCCTTTGTAACGCAATCCCCCCTCCCTCCCCCCCCCCCCCCCAAAAAAAAAAAAATAAATAAATAAAAAGTCTTAGTAATCAAGTAAAGTCATTTCATTTCGACCTAACTGCATAAAATATGAAAAAGCTCTTACAGCTAACGTGTGCCTCTAAACAATAATATACTTATGTATATGTAGTTATATTGTGTCCAAATAGGGTGCTACAGAAGTGCTCTATTGCGTTAGGCACCATATTTAAATGAGGAGGAACATCCTAACCAATTCCTGAAAACGGCTGCTCACTTACCTTTTGGAAAGATGCTTCAAGGCCTCGTGCCAGTCAGAACGAGCAGGAGGTTTTATATTTTCAGTAAAGCACCCCAGGGATTGTTATCAAAGGATATACGTCTATCTGTACACTAATGTGCAGTCTCTTCTAAACGCGTGATATTTTTCCGACTATGGTAAAACTGAAAAGTCCATCGCCCTTGTTTACGAAGCCGGACAACTAATCGCTCATCTACCTCATTTGCGCGATTAGTTTCTCGCTTTTGTTCCCTATGATTAAAGCAAATCAAGATATACATGTGCAATGAAAGATTACTGGCTGTTACCAAGGGCTGTTAAAACGCCATATTTCAAATGTTTTTCCCCAGTGTCATGCCCAGAAATAACGGTTACGAGTAGAAACGTAAAATCGTTTCAATGTTATACTTAACCAGTTTGAATTGTATTATTTTTCTTCGGAAACGTATTTTTGGTACATAAAACTATTTCTAAAGGCAATTTAGCAAACTATACTACGGCACTACACTTCAAATAGAACACGTTGCAACTTTTCATGTACGTGATTGTTGCTTTTGGTTCAATACAAAAATTCCTATAATATTTGTCAATTATCTACCAAAAATAATGTTACGGTAGAAATGACGAACAAGGTCAAGAGCGGTCCGTTTCAGCCTCGGTCTTTTACTCATACTCCCCGCTCCAGTTCGCGCAGGAGAGACCCCACCAGCGGACCGATAAAGACGATCGTCGTCGTCTTCATCAAAACAACCCCCCCCCCCCTCCCACCCCACCACCACCACCGTTGTGGCGGCGGTTTCTCGAACGTAGCTGCACTGTCGAAGTTGTTAATGGAATGAAGGGTGGCAAGTAGAGTCTCATACGGGCGACATCGATGATGTCGCTTCCAGCTTTGCGACAGTCAGCCGTTGCTTCTTGTAGCGCAGTGTTGTGCCAAAAAAAAGTAAGGAAATAGCGTTACTCGTTAGTTTCGTAAAAATTAACGCGTTATTGAACTAGGTTACTTTTTTACAAACGTAACGGTATACCGTTACCCTTACTTTTGAAAACTAACTAACGTTACTTTTACGTTAGTTTTACGTTACTTCTGTGTTCGAGTACATATGTTCGGCAGAGATGTGTTCGCTTACAAACATGCCTTCGGTCTCGTGAAAGAGAAAACTTTCACGAGACCAATCGAAAGTCAATGTGCTTTTATAAACTACAACATGCAAACGGGGACTGCTGGAACACAACCAGCCAACCAACACCCCTCATCTGTACGCCGGTTTTAGTAACAGTCTGGTTTCTACTATTAAGAGAGACTGATTTACTTCACTATGTGGGACAGGACACCGGTTACCAGCACACTGGTTATAATCACCTGCTGCCTCTTACCAGCAGTAAAGTCGCTCAATCCAGTTACTTTAACCAGCGGTATACCTCTTAATTTTTCTGGGGGAAAAAGAAAGTTTTGTTTTTGTAAGTTTTCTTTCCAGGTTTAATTTTTTATTATTTTTTTATTATGACCTTAGTGAAGTAAAGACTAATCAAGCGAAAGATTATTCTGTGTACAAAAGTGATTCAGGAACTTTTAGGCAGCGAGGGGGAGAGCTAAAGTAAAAAAATGCCACAAAGTTTTTTTTTTTTTTTTATTGCAACTAAAGAAACGAGCGAATCGCTTCGCCACTAGTTGTCCACTGTTTTAAACGGATGTCTCTCTCTTCCCTCCCCCCCCCCCCCTCGCCCCGCTGTCCACCTCTGCTGCACAAAGCAGAGGGGGAAGAGGAGGGAGGGGAGGGAGGGGGCTGTAACGCACTCGTTCGCTGAAGCCTTGTGGGTGGTGACACTATGAAAAAAAAATAAAAGGACGAATGGAATTAGCTGGTAGCCGAAGGTTTGTTTCGCCTTCGAGAAGCCAGATAACGTCGCCTTTTAACAGATGTCTGTTTTGGTCATAAAGGTTTTTTTCTTTTTTTTTTAAGTTCACTGTGACGGACGTTGGTTCCGTGCTTGAGCAGGATTTT